CCCTCCCCCTCCCAACCCCCTGCGCTGAACTTCGTGAATTAGTGAAGCTACATAAAAGTGACTAGATCTGAATCTGAATTTAATGAATTTGAGCTACGTCCCTGAACTATACATACTGCCGGTTCAAGGTTAAACCACCGATTCAAATTTAATCATCAGTTCAAAATCATTTGGATTCCTGACATCAAGTTTTATAATTCTAAGATTTTCGTTAATCGATTTTTAGCCTCGTTTTGTCCTCTTTGTTACCAGTTTTAAGCCTCGTTTTGTCCTCTTTGTGACCAGTTGTTAGCCTCGTTTTGTCCTCTTTGAGACCAGTTTTTAGCCTCGTTTTGTCTTCTTTGTCACCAGTTTTTAGCCTCGTTTTGTCCTTTTTGTCACCAGCAGTTTTTAGCTTCGTTTTGTCCTCTTTGTCACCAGTTTTTAGCCTCGTTTTGTCCTCTTTGTCACCAGTTTTTAGCCTCGTTATGTCCTCTTTGTCACCACTTTTTAGCCTCGTTTTGTTCTCTTTGTCACCAGTTTTTTGTCTTCATGTTTTATTGAAGGATATAATGTGAGGATTTAAACTCAGCTTGCTTGTTAAACATATTTTTTAAGAATAACTATGTTAAGATTTCTAAACTTTATTCTGATTCTGGTTGCACCAGCAGTACTTTCAAGTAAATATTTTAAATATATATATCTATATAAATATATGAAATAAAACTATTTATTTTTATCTAAAAAAGCTAAATTTAAAAGATTTTTATAGCTGTTATATGAAACTATTACGCACTTCATCATTTATGCTCAGTTAATAAAATAATTATCCTGCTATAATGTTAAATTATGTTTATATAATAACACTGCAGTATAACGCGTCGTATCAGTGATTATGAACATTTTGTTTCCTTGCAAAAGTTTTAAATATTTTTTGTTTAGATACGGTTAATATAAGATTTTAAATCAATAATAAAAATTTTAAAATTAAAATAAATCAATAATAAAAAAATTACAAAAATGATATTTATTTCTAGATAACAAGAAGAAAGTAAAGTACGAGTCTGATTCTCAGGAAATTATTCATTTTTTAAAATTCATTAAAGGAACTGATTACTTGCCTTAATTCACTTCAACGCTAATTTTCTAGTCACTGTTAAATTCCAATCAAATGATATTATAAACTATGAATGAATAAAAATGAAATGTTGGGTCAAAAAGTCAGAGTTTGCAATATTTATGGTTTATGATCCGAAGAGAAATAGATTGTTAAATAAAAGAATATATAGAAAAAGAATTAAAAAGTTTTTTAAAAGTTGAAAAAGGAATATATATCAATAAAAATATTGAAGATATTGTGACTAAAGCTACAGATCTAAAAACTATATTTTTGAAAAGCCCTTGAAAAGTGCATGTAGAAACATGTGTCACACTTTGATATTTGTTAAAAACAAAAAAAAATCTTTTTTTAACCCTTTTTTTAGGTATTTTTTTCAACCCTCACTAGCACCAAACTATTAAAGTTATCGGTCTATTTTTTTTCATTGAGCTGGCCATGAAAAATTCGGCTATGAACATGCATTTCAACCTATACCTATTCTCTAAGGCCTTATTCTAGGGAGGCGCCAAACGCCACCCCCCCACTCTTGCATAGGGTTAACAAAAAATGATTAATTTCGTTCTCTAAGGATAAAAGAGAAGTGTTGGTTCGGTTAGATCATCATATTCAACAACTTTTTGAGGAAATTTTTAGTTACTATTAATAAATAATACTAGGGTTTCCATTTTAATACGTTTGTTCACGTAAAGTCTTACAGAACCTTCACTGAAGCTGTATAAAATAATAATACTTTTGGGAATTAGAGACAGACCCTTACTTTACAGATTTTCAAATAAACCCATCCCCAAGGGGTAACCGCCAAAATTTTTCTATGTAAAAAAGTTTTCGGAAATAACGTCCTAAGTTTTGAGACTTTTTTTCTGGTTCCAGTATGATATTATCCAAATTGTCCCCGAAAAAAAAGTCCTATTAAAGTAGAAAATGCATGAGACCAAAGGATGATTGCAACCATGCAAAAAAAGGGGCAATTGATATTGAAAATACAGATGCATGACTGTCATGTTTTCTCTAACTAAGCTCTATGTACTTTAAAAACATGAAATACTTTTACGAGAAAATCTTCTAAATACTTTTTTTAATCAATTCATAATTTTCAAAACCCTGTGATTTTTCTATAAACTCAAAGCTTAAAGGGATATGTGATCCATTTCAAGGGACTCTCCCTATTGAAGAGTTTAGAAGTCATGCATCTGAAAATTTAAAACTAAATTCTGAACACAGGAGCTGCCATCAATCATTGAGAAAACAAGATCGGTGAGAAGTTCAAAATTGTATTAAAATAAAAAAGATATCATCGGAGATCCTGGATTTTCTTTGAAAACATCAAGCTTTTCATCGGAGACTCAACATTTTCTTTAATGGATCTATATTGTTTACTATATACTGGAAAATAATCTAAATAAATTATTTATTATGTACAGGAAAAGAACCGAAATTGTTTAATATGTACAGCAAAATGATCTAAATTATTTATTGTGTACAGGACAAGAACCTAAATTGTTTGCTATGTACATGAAAAGGATCTAAATTGTTTACTATGTACAGGAAAAGGTTTAAAACTGCTTACTATGTACAAGAAAAAGGGATATGTACAGCAAAATGATCTAAATTATTTATTGTGTACAGGAAAAGAACCTAAATTGTTTGCTATGTACAGGAAAAGGAACTTAATAGTTTACTATGTACAGGAAAAGGATCTTAATAGTTTACTATGTACAGGAAAGATGTTAAAAAAAGATCTAAATTGTTTACTATGTACAGGACAAGAACCTAAATTGTTTACTATGTACAGGAAAAGGATCTAAATTGTTTACTATGTACAGGAAAAGGTTTAAAACTGCTTACTATGTACAAGAAAAAGGGATATGTACAGCAAAATGATCTAAATTATTTATTGTGTACAGGAAAAGAACCTAAATTGTTTGCTATGTACAGGAAAAGGAACTTAATAGTTTACTATGTACAGGAAAAGGATCTTAATAGTTTACTATGTACAGGAAAGATGTTAAAAAAAGATCTAAATTGTTTACTATGTACAGGAAAAGGATCTAAATTGTTTACTTTGTACAGGATAAGGTTCTAAACTGTTTACTATGTACAGTGTACAGGAAAAGAATCTAAATTGTTTTCTATGTACATGAAAAGGATCTAAATTGTTTACTATGTACAGGAAGAGGTTCTAAACTGTTTAATATGTACAGGATAAGGTTCTAAACTGTTTACTATGTACACTGTACAGGAAAAGGATCTAGAGGGAAGGCGGAAGAATTTTGAGTACGGTACTGCAGCCACGGGTATCATGCTAGGCAGACTAATCAGGTGTGTACAGAGCCCGAAACTTTAAGCAGAGTATCGTTATGAAACCCTTTTTTATGAATGAACCAATGCAGTTTTGTTTATACCAATATATTTGTCAAATAATAATTTATTACACAGTTTCTTTCACATTCTATTTAAATTTCGTATATTTTGAACTTAAATCTCCAAACCTATATTACGATACTTTCTCTAATTTTAAGCTCATTTTTTACATTTTTATACATGTTTTAATACACATTTAACATTTTGTTTTGTTTATTTTCTTTCTCCAACGATGATTATTGAATCTATTGATGGTTGCTGAAATCGTGGGAAATTCGTCTACTTCTTCACGATATACGCAATACAAGTGTTGAATCAACGTCCTTACTACGCTACTTTTTTATATAATATTTTGTAACCCACTGCTTTTCACTTCACAACTTACACAAGATTTATCAGCGAATATACAGATACAGATACAGATACAGATAGTCTGCGAAACACCCTGAATAAGTGCAAATCTACATTTTATATACTTTTAACTTTGTACAAGGTTGGAGCATTATTTTGGAGGAACTACATCTACAAACCTACAGTTCACATACTAGTAACTATATATACAGGGTTGGAGCATTATTCTTGGAGGAACTACATTTTACAAACCTAGGGTTTACATTCTAGTAACTATATATACAGGGTTAGAGCATTATTCTTGGAGGAACTACATTTTACAAACCTAGAGTTTACATACTAGTAACTATATATACAGGGTTGGAGCATTATTCTTGGAGGAACTAAATTTTACAAACCTACAGTTTACATACTTGTAACTATATATACAGGGTTGGAGCATTATTCTTGGAGGAACTACATTTTACAAACCTACAGTTTACATACTTGTAACTATATATACAGGGTTGGAGTATTATTTCTGGGAGGAAGTACATTTTAAACACCTACAGTTACATACTAGTAACTGTATATACAGGGTTGGAGCATTATTTCTGGAAGGAACTACATTCACAAACCTACAGTTTACATTCTAGTAACTATAAAGGGTTGGAGCATTATTTCTGGGAGGAACTACATTCACAAACCTACAGTTTACATACTAGTAACTATATATACAGGGTTGGAGCATTATTTCTGGGAGGAACTACATTCACAAACGGAGTATTCCTGGATACACTAGGTAAACCTAGGTTTAGAGGTTTCTCTGGGTTGGGATCAATCTTTGCGTCCCTCCTCTAAACTTTTTTGTTTCTATTTAAGCGATACCCAGAAAACATTGGAATAGAGAGACGACATTTAGACTCAATTAATTCCGCAAAATATTTTATGATCATGAGACACCGCAAGTGCAGTTTTAACAGACACTTAATAATAGATTTGCTAGATTTACAAGACCATCAAATAACTTCATGAAGTATTCCAAAAATATGGTTTTCCTATTCCACAGTTTTCTGGTTCTCACTTCACCTTCAATCATATAATCATATGCTCTTTGAACACTTTTAAACAATAACTAACAACTTGAGCTCATGCCACAAACTCTGATGTTTTAATAATTGAACCCGATGTCGTAGACCTTGATATTTAAAACTATCTATATTGTTAGATTTAATAGTCTAGGTTTGTAATTTTAAATATGTGCACCAACAGTGCTTAAAACTTTAAAATTGTAGATATCGATATCAATGCTTGATTTCCTCTTTTCATAAATCTAAAGATTAATTTAATCTTACATTAATATCTAAAATGGAACCAAAAAAAGTGTTGATTGCAGAAACTTAACTGCCAATCAGAAGCAGAGATATCTTGTGCGCAATAAATTAGAGAACTCTCATTGGACGGAACCCAGCACGGATATCCAACAGAGAGGATTAGGCAGAGAATTAAAGGTCTCACCAGTGAACATTCAATTAAGAATATCCAATGCAAGAGTTTTCAACTCAGGTTGCAAAGATATGGGGATAAGAAAATTTGAAATTGTTGAAAAATAACTGTTTTTTGTTGTTGCAGGAGACACACTTACAGTGGCAGGGTATGCTGGAGCCAGGTATATAAAGGTTAGTTATATACTTTATATACTTAGTGTGAATAATCTAGTTTATTAATATTAAAGGCTTTTAGATCAATATTAGGATCAATTTTATGATATATGCAATGGTAATAACTATAAAAGGATCAATATGTTGAACAATATTAATATTAGGATTATTATTAGAATCAATATTAGGATCAATATTGTGATCAATGGTAAGATCTATATAAGGATCAATAATAGGATCAACATTAGGATTAATATTAGGGACAATGTTAGAACCAATATTAGGATCATTATTAGGATCAATACTACAATTAATACATAAAGCGAAGACGAAAAAAATTGTATTCAACATATCTCCAGTTTATTATATTCTCAGTCTTATATTTCTTTACAATTTTCCAACGTTTATCCCAGAAAAGCAATTCCACGTGATGAGGTAGATCTACTAAAAACTTCTTTTTTTAATTTGAAGAAGAAAATTACAGTTTTTATGTAAATTATGTAAAACCAAGAGTGTTAAAGAACTAAGCCGGAGCCTGGAAGTGGTAACAAAAATTGTGTTTATTAGTTTTAGTTAAATGTTCAGTGGAAACAAGGATCATGGTTATAAGGGAGATTGAATTGACCCGGCCCGCCCTACCATATGATTATACATGCTTTGCAGACGGGGTACGGCATTCGAAAAAGAGTTTTAAGGTCGTCTTTTAAAACCAATTTTTTATATTCTAAAAAATACGCTTGAATTGCTGATATTTTGCCTCTTAGAAAATGTATTTGTTTGCGTTATTCAGCCTAATTTTTCTCTGTTTAATGTACACAATAACCTATTCTGAATACATGTACGCGGTACGTGTACATCGGACAAATATTTCTAATTCAAGTGAAATACCGTCTGTAAACCATGTATGGTAGGGCGGGCCGGGTCTATTGAATCTCCCTTATGTTCCATGCTCCTTGGGTAGAAATGACGTCAAGATTAGGCAGACATTGTTTAAATTAATTTTTAATTAATGGTTTGGTCCAAATTACATTTTAAACAATTATAACTTAATTGTTTCAAATTATCTTTGGGAAAATATTGATGATAAAACCTTTTTGTTAAGCAAGAATTGTGCATTTTTTACTTGAAAATGTTAATTGCATTTACTCATTAAAAAGCAAATGGTGACTAACTGGGATTGGTCCTAATTAATAAGCAACATGTTTAATGGTTTAAAAATATGCCATACAAGTTTTGGAATTCAATTTAGAAATTTTTTAATTTTTTAAAAAGAAATCAGTGAAACCTGTTTTTTTTAGAGTTTTTATGTTCATTTTCAAGTTTCTTCTTTATATTTAAAAGATGTTTTCCTCAATAAATTTAGATCTCCAGTTTCTTGAATCATTCGACCCTGCAACAATAAGATTATTTATGTTTGGACAAATGAAAATAATGATGATAATAATGATGATAATAATGATGATAATAACGATGATAATAACGATGATAAAAATGATGATAATAATGATTATAATATTAGCAAATTAGAATCATTTTGTTGAGTTTGGATTTTTCCCTTAAAAGTTTTCCTTTACCTAACTTTAAAAGTTTTGGTCAAAAATAATTTCTCATTTAATTTAAATGAACATTAATAATAATATTAATTATATTTAAATATTTTTAATGCAAAAATATTTACCCTGTGTGGACACTTTTGCATTGCATTTTCTGGTACCCGCTGCAAATATAAAGTCTACATGAATTTTTTTGCACGCATTTTGCAAATATTTTACAATCTGTATTAAGGTAGATACGGAACTGTTAATGCAAAACAAGAAGAACTCCTGTACACTGTAAAGTGCAGTATTTTAGTTGCATTAATGTCATTCTAGAATCAAATTATCTTAAAACAAAATTTTGTTCTTATGGTTAACATGTGCAGTGGAGGAATTGAAACTATGTGGTTAAAATAAGAAGATTTTTTATGCAAAAATATATTTTTCAAAGAGTGAGCTGTCCTATGTAAGATTTAAAAACCTGGCAAATTGCAGAGCAGAGATTAGTGAAACTAGGTACTGTTAACAGGGCACCGGTTGGTAACCTAAAGTAATATTTTTATTTTTAAGGACAAATTAAAAAACAGATTATTCACCAAACCCCCCAGTTTTGACGGGACAAGAAAAGGATGAAAATTGAGAAAGAAAAGATATTCTTGTGAGAATATGGTGAATATGCTGTGTGCATAGAAAAAATAAAATATTTATAAAATGAGAATGAACACAAAGAGAAAGTTAACAGAAAGGGGAAAAAATAAAAATATTTATAAAAAGAGAATGAACACAAAGAGAAAGTTAACAGAAAGGGAAAAAATAAAAATATATTTATAAAAAAAGAATTAACACAAAAAGAAAGTAAACAGAAAGGGAAAAAATTGAGAGGGGTAACTGGAAAAGGAAGGAGGAAGGGGGAAGTGGAAAAGGAAGAAGGAAGGGGGAAGATGGAAAAGGAACATTGAGAGGGAGGGAGCTAGAAAAAGGAAATTGGGGAGGG